ACGCGACCGGACGCTGGACCGGTGGCTCGGCAGACAGGCGACCGGACGCAAGGACCGGACGCTGGCGGCAACCGATCGGACGCAGGAACGCAGCGTCCGATCGAGTGCAGAGAGGTTCCAGGCGCGTGAAACTGCGACCGGACGCGTCCGATGGCGAAGCGACGGACGCTTGCGATGTCCGATCGGTAGTTCACGGTTGCAGCGGTCGGGACGACCGGACGTGTCCGGTCAGATTTATTCAGCGTCCGGTCGATGCGCTTTTTGGGAGTTCGACCCCAACGGCTACTTTCTCAATGGGGCTTATAAATACAACCCTCAACCGGCCATTTGGAATGTGTGGAGCTGAGGAAACATACCAAGGGTGTTGATACACCATTTTAGTGATCTCCACTTGCTAAGTGCTTAATGTTTCATCAGGTGATTAGCGTAGGTGCTTTGCGAAGTGCTTAGGTTGATTAGACCACTGCTTATGCGCTTGCTCTAGGTGTATGCCTAGTGTTTAGTGAGGTTTGCATACCTCTTGCCACCCCGTGCTTGCGAGCACAAGAGTTGTACATCGGAGGGGCTTGAAGTCTTGCGAGATCGCACCAACCGCGTTTGTGGTGCGGCCGCCACCGTGTACCGAAGGGAACAAGGCCCGCGGCATTTCGGCCGAAAGCTTGATAGTGAAGACGGCGGGGAGCATACAGGAGAGGCTTGCCGGAAGGCACATCGGAGACCCACTTGTGCGTGGGGAAGGCCCGAGGCTATCCACGGAGTTACTCGACCGGGAGCTTGGCCCTTGCGAGGGATTCCTTGCGAGGGGCTCCAACGAGGACTAGGGGGAAGCTTGCGCGCTTCTCGATACCTCGGTAAAAATACCGGAGTCGTCGATGGGAGTTTGCATATCTCTACCTTGCTCTTTAAGCTTCCGCATTTACATTGATCATATTATTATCATTTGCGGTAGAGATAGCAACACACTAGCAAAACCGTAGTTGAATATCTAGATAGATTATCTTTTGCATATGTTTTGCTAGAGGTAGAAAAAGAGGCCATAGTTTAGAGTTAGATTTTTAAGTTGCCTAATTCACCCCCCTCTTAGGCGTCCACGTGTCCTTCAAATGACCATGCGGTGGCAATGCTCGTGGCTTGATCGGCCATCGTCTTGATCTGAAATTTTGATTCAGCGTTCATCGGTGCCGACTGACATAGCAATTTCCTCGCTCCATAACTCCTAAACCATGAATCATCAGCGAAACAGTCTAGATGAAAGTTGTAGCCCTTCATACCATCTTCAACTTCTATTAAAAAACCAAGACCTAATTCTTAACCGATGCAGAGTAAAATCATGCCAAAGTTGAGTACATGAAACTGAAATTTGATTTGTGACTTAGAAAATTTTCAGTCTCCAAATAGACCTCAAAACTGACTTGTGGGCCCTTTTTGAGCATGTTCTGCACATTTTCATGAAATGGTCAAAAATAAATTTTGTTCCTTATATAATTTTCTACAACTTTGCTTTAGGTTGCTCAGACATGCAAACACTCTAAGCTGTACTTTTTAAACAGTCAAACACAAGAGCTCTAGGGGTCAACACAAGTCAAACTATTACTAGGAAGCATAATTAGGCAATATGGTCAACATGAGCATTGTTCCTAATGACATTCTAAGTGTAGCTAAGTTGTTTAAGAGGACATTTGACATGCATTTGCATAGACCACACATGAGCACACACAAATGCTAGCATAAAACCAAGCAATTCAAATAGAGACACACCTGAAATGATAACATTCATCATGGTATGATGCTTATGAATGAATGAATGATGCTCATGTTTATGAAATGCAAGTGCAAATGTGGAAGCCAAACACCTAGGGTGTTACACCAAATATTTCAACTGACGTTGGGCGAAGACACATTTGGAGCGTTTAACTTGCCACTGATCACGGCGTAAGAGTTCCAACACCTACCGAAGGTGGACCAAATGTTCTTCAAGCGACCAGCTGTAAATGAGGATATCATCAAAGAAAACCAAAACTCCCTTACGAAGCAATGGTGCCAGAGTAGTGTTCATCGCTTTCTAGAATGTGGCCGGTGCCCCAGTGAGTCCAAATGCCATGACCCGGAACTCATACTGACCCGAGTGGGTTTGGAAAGCTGTTTTTGGCTCTTCACCCGGCTGCAAAACGGATTTGATGATAGCCGGCTGTGAGATCTAGACAAGTAAACCACGAGGCATGAGTCAGCTCATCTAACAACTCCTTGATCACCGGTACCGGATATTTGGCCTTAGCAGTAATCGCGTTCAAGTGTCGGAAATCCACACAAAATCTGAAGGACCCGTCCTTCTTCTTGACAAGTAATACAGAAGAAGAGAACATACTGTTACTAGGTTGAATGATGCCAGACTTGAGCATATCCGTTACTTGCCTCTCAATTTCGTCCTTGACACCAGGCGGGTGGCGATAAGGGTGAACTTGCACGGGCGAGGCCCCTGGAATAAGGGGTATAGCATGATCAAAAGTCCGTGCAGGAGGGTAACCAGTTGGAGGAGCGAAAACTGACTCAAACTCTTGCAATATTTCAGACATTGCTGGATGAACAGAGGTTGGTTGAGAGGTGTCTTCAGCTGACACAGCAGTCACTTGGATAACTGATCCCTCCGGTAACGCCATCAGCTTCCCTTGCAAGAGAACCATGGTCTGGCCATGCGGAATCAAGAGCCACTTGTGCTGCTAGTCAATCTGCATGGGGCTATGACGTGCCAACCAGTCCATTCCGAGAATCATATCATATGATGGCATAGGTAAAGCCAAGAAAGCTGAACTGAGCTGACATTGTTGCACTTCCCAAGAGAGATCACTGAAAAATTGCGGGCACTCAATAATGCTACCATCAACAATTCGAACTCGAGGTGGAACTGCTAGAGATTGGCCACCAATCAACTTACTAGCTAAATCAGTGCTGACGAACGAGCAAGAACTGCCAGAATCCACCAATATCTGAACTGGAATGCCCTGGACCGTGCCCTCCAAATGGATAGACCGAACTGGAGTGGGAGCAGCAACTGACGCTAGCACTTGGACAACAAAAACTTGTGCAGAATCATCCTCAGTGGTAGCTTCGTCAACACATTCAGATTCATCAGTATTGCACATCTCCCAAAACCCTTGTAGAGCGTGCAACTGAAGGGCTTCAGGACATTTGTGGTCGCGAGACCATTTCTCCCCATGGTGAACACACAAGCCACGGGCACGCCTGTAAGACCGCAGTGTGTTCAACTTGTCCTCCACTCCACGGGGCCGACGGTCATCAGCCTGAGCCCCACCCGCAGCTGCCCGACCACCACGATCAGGAGCGGTGGCCGGCGGCAGCATGGGCAGAGACTTGGATGCCGACTTCCTCCGCCTAGGATCCACCAGTTCTTCCTGCAACAAGGCGAGAACACAGGCAGCATCCACAGTAGATGGGCATTGCATATGCACAGCAAAACGAATGTCATCCCTCAACCCATCCACAAAGTGCATAGCATAAAACAGGAGATCTGTAGTTTTACCATAAGCTATGAGTTTATCTACCAAACTAGTAAACCTATCTACATACTCCTGAACACTCCCAGTTTGACGTATGTGAAACAACTGGCGAATCAACAACTCATACTGATCCCGACCAAAACGATCTAGGATCAACTTACAAAACTCCTCCCAGCTGACCTTCTTCACCTTTGGATCCAAGGACTGCAGCCAGCGAGATGCGGCGCCTGTCATCCGCATCGTGGCTACACGAATCCATTGACTGGGCTCAATAGAATACATGTCGAAATAATCATCACAACGACTGAGCCACAGTTTTGGATCCTCCCCATCAAAAACTGGAAAATCCATTTTCGGTAACTTACTACTAGAATACTGAGGCCCCCAATGCGCGCGATACTCATGCGGCGCACCATCAACAACAGAAAACTCTCGATCCCCCATGTCCAACGCTGAACTAGAGAGAGACCGATGCAGGACAAACTGATGAGTGGGCTGGGGAAGGGAGTGAATGGTGGGCTTACCCTTGACCGAGGGTTGAGCCATGGACTCGAACCCCTGGTGATGATGTGCAACGTCGTGCCCAACAAATGGGCCGATGGCCGGGTGCCCGGCAGATGATGTCGCCGCGGCCACCACGGGTTGGGACTTTAGGACACCAATGGTGGTCGCCGGCTTTGAATCGAGCACCACACGACTCACAGTTTTGCGAAGGGCAGTCATATCTTCGCGCAACTGCTCCACCACCACGCCGGACTTGCGGATTGCCCCCAACTCCGAGCGCAGCTCCGCCACCGACGCATCCACCTTGGGCTTCCATTCATCGAACACCTTGGCGGCATCCTCCAATCGGTTGAATCGATCCGCGATGGAGTGCTCCACGGCCCCGATCCGCTTGCCCAGTGACGCCTCCACCTCCCCGATACGCCCGCCGAGGGACGATTCGAGGGAGGTCTTCACGGACTTGAGCTCATCCAGCAGAAGCTTGGTGTTGGAATCCATGGCACCGAGATGCTTACAGAATCTGGTGAATTAGTCGTGGATGATCTCGTAGGGTTCTAGGATGGGAATATGATGGATCGGCCAAGGAACGATAGGCTCTGGATACCAATTTATCAGCAATCGGGGAAGGGAAAGAGGAATCAGAGCAGGGGCAGAGGCAGCAGAGCACGAAGGATGGGAGGAAGACAGAATCTTAGTTTGCAGTTTGGAATATTTGGTTACAATCATCGTATCCTTCTCAGTGGCCAAGGCCAAAGCATATATGAGAAAGCTACTCACGCACGCACCCGCTACGTTTATTGGACTCACTCATTTACCCATTGCGGACCAAACACCCGACCGCTCTTCGTCTTGGCCCGATCAGGTGTTCCTTCCGCCGAGCCCGGCACAGAAGACTCCAGATGCTCATTCGGCACGGAGGACTGGACGTCGGTCCTGACACAAACCAACCGCGAATCCACGGGAGGGGAAGGGCGCGGGGGCATGGAGTTCCTGCACGGGCAGAGGCTGGAGACCGCGGTGGCCGTCGTCGCCGTCGCCGCCGTCGCCGCCTACCTCTTCATCCGCAGTAGGAAGCCCAGGGGTGAGCCATATGCCCTTCCCGTCAACAGTAACCCGCGCGTGTCCGGAACCCTTGTTATGGCTGTCACTCGTCTCTCCTTTGGTCACTAGTCACTAGAATGTATCTCTGGCTCTGAATCCTTCCGCGCTGGTGTCCTGCTGAGCTCAAAGAATTTGTGATTGTGCTGGTCCATTGATTCATCTTTCTGTAATGCTAATAATTGGATTTAGTTGTGTTGATGCCTCTGAACACTAGCGTCAGTAAAATTACATGATTCGCCAAAGCTGAACATTCAGAGATAAGTTCCTTGCTAGGCCAAGGGCCAAGGCCATCTAGTTGACATGCTTCTTTGGATTCTGAAACATTTGGGAACTGGCCCTACCACCGTGATTATGTTCTTGCTACTTGGTACTTTGTGTATGCATGTATCGTTCTACTTATTTTAAGTGACCTACTACTTTTGAAGCTAGCATCTCGTTCTTTTTTAGGAACATGGAGCTCACAGCCTAGTCCCATTTTTCTCCTTGTAGCTCATTTGTGTTGGTTGTGCTGTGATCTGTTCTATAGGCTGCCTGGACCCCAGAATTTCAAGGAGTTTAAACTTGTTGAGAAGAGGCAGCTGAGTCATAATGTTGCCAAGTTCAAGTTTGCGCTCCCAACACCTACTTCTGCATTGGGTCTTCCAATCGGACAACATATAAGCTGCAGGTTTGGGTTCCTTGTTACCACTTTTGAAAGTGGGTTTGCAAGGTGCAGCCGTTAGTCTGAATTTCCTTTAATCTTACTGTGTTTATCCCCAATTGTTCCAGAGGACAGGATGCTGCTGGCGAGGAAGTGATCAAGCCTTATACTCCAACTACTCTGGACTCTGATCTTGGATCCTTTGAGCTTGTTATAAAGGTAAGTTTCAATAAGATGGTCTTTTTTTTTTCATTTCCTAATCATTCCATCTTATCTTCAGTTGTGTTTTATGCATCTTTGCCTCTTTGGTCACCAATGCAACTATTTGTTCACTGTTGTGTTTCACCACTTATTTTCTTTCTTGAAGATGTATCCCCAAGGAAGAATGTCCCATCATTTCCGTGAGATGAAAGTTGGTGATTATCTGTCTGTGAAGGGACCTAAGGTATCCTGTATCACATTATATTTTGTATGTTGATTTTGCCTGTTCCATGTCTGAACTTACACACTAGACATGCTCAATTTGGTCCTTTCTCATGAGGCATATTTTGGCCTTGATTTTTGTTTTATCTATAATCTTCTTGAGTTACTGAGTATTATTAGGCATCACACTTGTCATTCTGTGGTTGTACACAATAATAAAAAAAATGGTCCAGTTACCTTCTTACCTTCATTTTTGCTACATTGGAAAGAGGCGTTCATTTGTTTTGTGAGAGTGATAGCGTTTATTATAGCACAACAAATGAACAAACAGCAAAAAAATAAAAAGAAGTTGTGCATTTTGAATGAAGTTGAATCGGAAGGTGTATTTTGTTAATGAAAACATACGTAGCTCCTGGTATGCATTTTGGCCTTTCGATATTGAGATTAAATAAATGCTTCTCTAACCTAGGGCCGTTTCAAGTACCTACCTGGACAAGTGAGAGCATTTGGAATGATAGCTGGAGGATCAGGCATTACTCCAATGTTCCAAGTAATAACACATCGTCCAAAGTTCTTTATTATGGTATAGTTGAGATTTTTTTTAGTACTCAGCAGTGCATTTTTCTGTCTTACTATAGGTCACAAGGGCAATTCTTGAGAACCCAAAAGACAATACAAAAGTACACTTAATCTATGCAAATGTCACTTATGAGGATATTCTTCTGAAGGTATGCCTTTTATGCTGACAAACTTCATTGACTCTTAACCTGATAGCAGTTATATACCTGCATGTAAAAGGGTCTGGTTCAATTGATGATGCCTATTTGGTGAGACACTGATATCATTACTCCCTATCTGTCCAGCTTACATTATGAATAGAAAACTAGTAGGCCTGGTTTCTGGGATATGGAAATAATCTTTGTTTTGTGCGATTATGTATCATATCACGAAGAGCAGAAACATGTCACAGAATACCACTCAATTTGTATTGTTCGAGTCATGGTCTCCTCGCATTGCACAAAGTGCGAGGTAAGGCTTGCCACTAACACCTTCCCTGCACCCCTTGCACAGAGCGGGTACGCCCTTTAATTCTACATACGCCCATATGTAAGCAGCACTCTTTTGTCGAGAAATAATTATGGATTTGTTCCTCCACAGTAAAACTAGGAACTCTTGTCTACAGTTCTTGTAGTCTGTGTTACTCTTATAGGCACTTGTTTGTATGCTAAACTGAACCATCGCAATAGAAGAAAATTTTCTGTTTGACATGCATTTGTGCCACTGATTGGGCTTATGACGTTACATCCGTGATGAAATTGCAACTCGCTATTATCATACAGTACGGTATCGTTTTTGTGTGCTTACATTTTGCTTGATGCAGGAAGAGCTTGACAGTATGGCCAAAAACTATCCCGATCGCTTCAAGATCTACTATGTCTTGAATCAGGTCTATTTCTATTCTAAGAATTAGTAGTTTGGCCAGTCACCTGTCATTAGTTGATACCCTATATTTCACACATCCGCGTCTTACTAAATAGGCATTGTTTCTGTGCAGCCTCCTGAAGTCTGGGACAGTGGTGTCGGGTTCGTGTCAAAGGAAATGATCCAAACTCATTGCCCAGAGCCTGCTGCTGACATTCAGGTAAGCTTTCCAGTTACTGAAAGCACTTGCTGGAACTTGGAAGCCATCAGTTTTGCTCGGTGAAGTCAGACACTAGGGGGGTTTCCGTTTTCAGGTATTGCGATGTGGCCCTCCTCCATGAACAAAGCCATGGCTGCGCACCTGGACGATCTCGGCTACACGAAGGAGATGCAGTTCCAGTTCTAAGCATTCTCTCTACCAATACCAAAATAAACGGCGATGGAACAGGTTTCTTTGCCTCTTTGAGTAGACGAAGCCTGATCATGATCATGTCGTGATATAGCTCCAAACAGACGTGGTTTGGCGTTCAGAGCATCGTACCTGGATGAAAGCAGGAGTACCGAGTACCTACCTAATTTGTATTTGTGTCGGGACATTGTACCATGCCATTTTTCGTGTCGTCGCAATCGCTACTCCAATGAAGACAATTTTTTTTGTGGCTTTGCCATTTTTGCGTCATATCTGCAGTGTTATCAGTGGTTACAGTGCACCCTCTCCCAACACAATCGTTTGTCACCCGAGCCAGCAAAAGATGCCAACTTGTGTCATTCTGACGCGTCATACAAATACAAAAACTGTGCATGTGCAGGTGTGCTATCTCTGTTCTTGCAGAGCTATGGACGCGTGCGCATACATACGGGTAGGCTTGAGCAGGTGGTGTGTTGGTTGCAGCTCCTGCCCTATGAGGCCGAAAGACGAACAGCACAGCGATGTCAAGCCGCTCGTTTACGCGCCAGGTACAGGCCAGTGACACCAAGGCGTCCGTCGTCTTCTTCTGAGCTCCTGCTACATGGTTCATGGCGTGTCCGTACATGTACGTGCGATAGCTTCGTGCTCAGGGAAAGCCATTTTAGTAATGCTCGAGCAGTCTGACGCATGTGACGAATCCTGCTAGCTGCTTACTTAAAAGACAAGCAATCAAGAAACCGCTTGACAAGCTGAAAACGCATCGGACCAAACTCTAATGAATGGAGCGGGACTTGGTTGCTTCCAGATTATGAGGATCTCAGTTGTATGTCTGGAGTAAGCTAATGCATGATCCTATTACTCTTATGTTAAGTTTGCACGATGTTTCAGTACGTCTCATGCTAGAAAGGCCAAAAGTTTTGTGCTTGACCAGTGGATCACAACACACATGAAAGTACCAGCTATAATAAAGGAAAGTCGCTCTCACCCTTTGAGTCGTCGTCCTACAACAAGCAATCGTCATCATCGATGATGATTCGAGATTCTTTACGTATTGCACAGCCAGAATTTTAGACTTCTCCTAGTGAGGTGGACTCCTAGTGTTTTAGCATTCAAAATTCAATATAAATTTTTCCTACGAAATGCCTCCTAGTGAGATTCTCATGTGCTATGACTAGTGGTAGTGTTTTATTACTACTTAATAACAATAGAAAAATAGAAGTCGCTATGGGATGCGTGCAGGTCAAACTTTCCCAACTTTAACTAGGTTTATAGAAAATACGCGTAAACATTTATATCTTTAAATAAGTTTATTGTAAAGGTATATTCAATGCTCTATCTAGTAACACTAATTATGTATTATAAAATATTATTATTTTTTATATATATTTAGCCAAAGTTAAAAGTGTTTAATTTCTTAGGAATTGAAAATAACTTCTATTTTAGGACGAAGGAGTACTATAGATGCACATCTGAATCTGATCCATGTGCGAATCCAGTGGCCGGCTTCTCGTGGCTGTTGTTGTCCTCCGTGTCGTCCACGTCGGGGGAAAAAAAGCCAAACTTGTCCGACGGCTTGAGGATGGAACCCTTTCTAGGTCTTTTCGACCCCACACGCTGCTCCTTGATTGCAATGACATCCAGCTCCTATCCGATTTTTTTTTTGTTTTGTTTTTTTTGGGGAGAGGCATTCACATCGCTGTCATTGGCCAACTAGGCAAGCACGCCTAATTTCTTGGGCTTCCCCTATGCTTCCCATCTTTTCAACGCAAGGATGAATCAACAATATCAAGGGGGAAAAGACTGAAAGAAAATGCAGGTCCACGCCTCTTTCTGACTGTGTATTACGTATTATTATTATTTTATCAACGTGCTAGGTGGCACTCCTACTCTAATGACTAATGGAACTAAAAGATGCATGCAGAACTACTACAGTCTGATGTTGTTGTCACACTAGCGCGTATCTTGCATCAACCACAACCACGTGTTCAAGTCTTTAACCAGGCAGGTTCAGATGACGACATTACTTAGATCTGACGAGAGGCACACAGCAAAATAAATGCGTCTGATTCCAATCAATTATTGCCATAAACCAAGTTACTAGTAGTAGTCAACAAATTTCTACGAGAAAAAAAAATCAAGATGGCCAATAATATATCGGCGGTTAGTAACACTACCATTCTACGAATTAAGTGAAGAAATAAGCAGAAATTGCAGTAGGTTAAGAAATACTCCCTCCGTCCATTAGTCTGAATCGCCTTAGCAAAATCTACTTTTCCACAAGTCTAAATCGTCTAAGTGCCGACGTCCATTCAAATGCATGTGAGCAGCTCTGTAGGTGTAGCCTGTAGGTACCTTTCTTTTGGCTGGCTTGGGTATCGGATTGGGATAGGATCGGAGCAGCATGGCGATGGCTTGGGAATTAACCTGGACTCGTGTGGTCTCCAACGGAACTGGCAGCTTGGCAGGCCATGGTCAGCGCAGAAGAAGCTGCGGATTGCCTGGCCGGAGTAGCGGTGACCATTGCAGTCGCAGAACTCGGAGGAGCGCCGCCGCTGGCTGCGACAAGGAGGAGAACGAGAGAAGGCGGAGTCGAGGCGAATCGGCAAGGCCCTAATTTTGCGTGCCGAAGTATATTTATTGGGCTGTATCGAGGCCATAGCTCACTATGGATGGATCTGACTGACTGGTGAGTCGACCCGAGGGCCCCTTTTATGTGGGAAAATAAGTAGCCCAAGAATGGCCTAATAACTAAGTTAAAAGTTCCAAGTTAAAATGTTAAATGCAGAGGCCATAGCCCATCAGACGAGGCTGCAGATGATGCGGGCCGTATTGGGCTTCTTGGGTGGACTCGTTATCGTGTCCACAAGTTCCTGGAGAATTTCTAGAGAATGGCACACGAATGTTGGCAACTGGTATGTAAGTTTTGCATGACCATCCGTGCCGTTTTTTTTTTCCTTGTGATGAAAGAAATCTTTGGCGTTTGTAGCGCTATACTATAAGACGGACCATACATCGGATGTACAGTGAGAATAAGTGCCACGGTTGTCCTATGAGGACCATCTGCACTAATTTTTTTTAATGGAAACACAGGGATCTAGCTCACACATTACATTGGTATCAAGAAGGGTACGCACAGTACACAAAGACGGGGATATATAGATATAGATGAAAGGCGGGGGGCTTAGGCCCTAAAACTTTGAAATGGACCATGAGGTGCTCGACGAAATGTGTCACCAGTGAGGTCAATTGTTGTTCAAGCTCTTCTGATTGCAACTGTAACTGTTTTCATTTACTTAAATAAATTGCCTAAGAACATGGAACAACAATAATTTAGCACCAAGGATTGGCTAAGATGGATACACTACAATTATATAAACTATCTTAATGAAATGGCAGTATCTTGTTTTCCTTCAAGATGAGCTTTCCAGATCTCCTGCTGGTAGCTTTCAAAAAGAAAAACTTCAGTAAGACAGTTCATCTTGCTTCTAGTGAGTTTGTTATGACCAACCTATTATGTTTACTTCCAATGCATGTTCGCAGTCCAACATCACACCTAGACCTCAAGTTTTTCACTGGCCTTGGCATGAAACCACCCAGAGCATCCTCTGTTGATGCCAACCAGAACCAGAAAATCTTGCTCGGCGACAGGGTTGGGCTTGGACTTGTGGATTTTCTAACTAATGAGAACTCTACCCCCTGGGTGGTAGAAGGTTCTTCTTGAATCTGAGATGAGGATTTCTGATAACCTGTCTCGCAAGAACAGCTCCCCACTGCTCTTGTTCATGCTGGGGTGGTTGAACAGAAGGATGATAATATATCTGATGGACTATAGACACTACTTAACACATGGTCATATGCCTTTTAGTAGAGATTTTCTGAACATACCTTGTCAATCAGAACTGCCTTCACAAAATTTTGCACAATTAATGTTGGCATTGGTTTTAAGATCAATGGTTGGTTGATAAAATCTCTACGCACCGTAACATATATCAACTTCTAATACTAATGTAAGATAAAATTATAGGACTTTTAAGCACGAGTTGATTGGCTAGTCGTTACAAATCAAAGTACAAAAAAAGGAAAATAATTGATAAAACAGATGTCCGTGGAACGGTACAGTAATGCCGGTTGATGCGGGAGATGTGGCACTGTTCAATGCGGCCACAGTAGTTACAGTCAGAAACTGGATCGGGGACATTGCCTATAACCTGAGCCATGAACTCCTGAATGAGTACTTCAAGCTCTGGGCAGCCATTGAGAACTCAGGAGAATACTCGGCAAAATCAGCGTATGAGGTACAATTTGCAGGATAGATCACCTCCAACTACCCGGTTTTGATTTGGAAGATATGGGCACCACCAAAATGCAAATTTTTCGTATGGCTGCTCCTCCAGGACAGGCTGTGGGCAGCGCGCGTCTACAGCTACGGGGATGGAAGAACAACTATTTTTGTGCGCTATGCGAATGGAACCTGGAGACGGCGCAGCATCTGTTCTTTGAGTGCACCTACTCTAGGTCGGTCTGGCAGCTCGTCGCCTCCTGGAGCTAACTGGAGGGATGAGCTCGGTCTAGAAGATTGGTACAGACAGACGTTGGGAACAGGGGGGCAAGAAGGGACACACACTAGCTATTCTGACCCTGTGGATCATCTGGAACCGGCGGAAAGCGGTTATTTTTCAGAGGATGCTGGAAGACTCCACAGGCAACGTTCATGGAGATTAAGGACATGGCGCAGCAATGGAAACTAGCAGGATGCAAAGCACTCAGGCCAACAGTTGTTCAAATCATTAGTGAATAATTAGCTAGGTAAACAAACCCCAACGCAGCCTAGGCTGTGGTGGGGAGTGCCGCTCGCGCATGTAAACTCGGATGTTTGCTTCTCCACTTATTTTTAATCAAAGCCGGTTCGTCCAGATCTTTCAAAAAAAAAATGATATAACAGATTATTTGCGATGGCTAATTATGCAATACAAACTAACAACACTTTGTTTATTAATTAGGAACTTCCACATACAAAGTTATTGCTTGGGCAGCAGGGTGCTCTTTGCACAAAGATATATAACATTGACTCAATCATAACCATATGTACTACTGGAGTTGGAATTCTCATGAGTTCCACTACGTACTAGCTGCCGCTGCAGGGAAGTCATGAACCCTTGGAGCCGGAGGGTCATCAGCAGGTAGAGGGTCCACTTCCATGGTGCCCTCCATCATCCACACCACGCTCCTCATCGTTGGCCTCATCGATGGTTCCCCCTGCACGCACCAAATCGCAATGCGCGCGAACCTCTCCACCCTCTCCAGGTCCTGCAGCGCCTCCTTGTCTCCCTGCACAGCACGCCCAACATCGCCTTCCCTAACCAGGTCCGACACCCATGCTCTCAGTGTCACGGGCATGCCTAGGTCCTCTGAGTCATCACCGTCGTCGTCGCTGCATCGCGACCCATCCTGGCCGCCATCGTCTGCCGGTGCCGGTGGTGGTGGTGGGTACTTCCTGCAGCAGATCATCTCCAGAAGAACAACGCCGAAGCTGAACACGTCCACCTTGCTGTCCACCTTCCTCTCGCCGCTGAACCACTCCGGAGCGAGATACCCGAGGGTGCCTCGGACATGGGTGATGGTCTGCTTCAGCTTGTCGCCATCGAGGAGCCTGGCGATCCCAAAGTCCGTTATCTTGGGGATTC